TTCCTCTCTCTCTCTCTCTCTCTCTCTCTCTCTCTCTCTCTCTCTCGACTTCCTTCTTGAACATGTGATACCTTGACTATGTGGAGATCAATTATCGTCGAGGTAAACCGCTTAATATTCATGTATTCTTGCGAAATGTAAACGGAAATGAATCGAATGATCGCGCGTGTATTCTTCGATAAGAAAAACATTAGAAAAAATTCCCTTCTCAAAACTTTTCCAAATTTTATATATAAATTTACTTTTACCCCTCCTCTTCTGCCATTCAGATAGAATATTATTTTTAAATTTTTTTAAAGCAGATGATTGCGTTTCAAATAACCATATACAATTTAAACAATTTTTCATTAAATACTCCAAACAAATCTATTAAAAAAATTTTTCGTTACACGAAGATGATCCGACATTTAACGACGAAACGATGAAATTCGAATGAAATTTTCGAAATCTTTGAAGATCTTTGAATGATCGATTTCTCAGTCGAACTGGATCAAATCCATCGTTCCTTCGAAATTTAAACACGTGTTCGGTTAGTTTGCGGATCTCTCGAAAGGAGGAAGAGGAATTACGTGACATCGTCGATTTCGAAAATTGACTTTGTTGCACGTAACTTGCGCGAACAAGAGGGTGGTTAGATTCGTCGAAACGTTTTCGTGTTTAATAGCAGAGGTATACGAGTTCCATATAGATAGATTCTTATTTGCCAGTGAATTCTCAGGAGTAGTTGGCAATTAAAAGTTTCTCCGCGGAACCCTTCATCGTGGTTTCACCTCGATGCTTCTTGCCTCGAGCTTTGTGGAAACGACGGCGCAACAAAGAGATTTGTTGAGAATATTAGCAAAATTCCAGACGACGAGAGTTTCTTTCTTTCTTTCTTTTTTTTTTTTTTTTGCGCGAATACAACGAATATCTATCACTCGAAAATCACGTTAAAATTTTTTTACAAAGAAGCATCTACAATGCTTCTTCATTCATCTCGTGATTCGACGCGTTAAAGATGAAAATATTGCGTTATATTATACTAAATACCGGTATTTGTGAAATATTTTCGAGAGGAGAAGAAACATTGTGCAAGCCTACGTTCCACGCCGTTTGAATAAGAATCACAGAGGGTGTTTTCCACCTTCTTAGTTTACCTTCGAAATTCTTCGAAAGACACCTCGTGAAAATGGACGATGGAACTGATGGGAATATCGAAAATTCGACCATCGTTCCCATCGTATCCACGATATTTTGAATTTTAACCAACCAGGTCACGGAGGAAGGAAGAAGGGAGAAAGCAAAAGAAGGCAAAAGAGGTTGACAAAAGAGGGAAATACGATAAGATAAGAAAAGTTTTCGAATCGAAATACAAGATAGGATCCTTGGTGATTTTTAACCTGGTTTTCTATTAAAAGTCATCTGCCTGCTGTTTCTTCTCCGCCATTCTCAGATTGTATTACAATTAAATAGGATAACTTTCGAATCTGTCTCGCAGAATACTTTAAAACTATGCGATGAAATCTTTTAATATTTGTAATAAAAAAGAAATTGTATCTCCATATAATCGAATTCTGAGCAAATAGGCTTCGATATTTTAATCCGAATTATAATTCTGATCCGCGATTTTCGACGAGGAATAGAATCTCGAGGATTTTTATATTTTAATAAAAGGATTTGCAAGAATCACGTTTCAAAATCTAACTCTGTCAGCATTTCGAATTGATAAAAAGAGGTATAAAATATTCGAATATAAATTTATTAACGCTTCTGCAAAACGCTTTTCCTTCTTTTTAAATTCTCAGAATCTCACGAATCGCAGCATTGTTGAATTGCAATCGTAACATTTCCAAGAATACTCCAATCCCAATAAATCTCTCGCCCGATCCCAATCGAATATTTTCGACTTCTCTACGCACTTGTAACCATTATCTAGCGTAATAAAATCCTATTTTGCACCGGCTCGATTTTGAAATGTAAACCCACCGATCGAATACTTGACATTTACTTACCTGATATACGATGATCCCGTATAAACAGACTCGTTTGGATTGAAAGTGGACGACACGTGGCCCGAATGTATCCTGGAATTGTTACACGCAAGGGATCCGTGCAAAATTGGTCCGCGTTTCGTGGGATGTCGTAAAGGATCTCCCTCGTCCGAGGGAAAGATAAAACAAAGGATACGCAGAAATATAATCGCGAAGCCTTTGATAAATGGAAGAAACCGATCGAATATCCTTCTCTGGTTTTATTGCCACGATGAAACGGCGAATCCCTTTATTCGATCGCATTGTCGCGGCCGTCTCGAATCGACCCTCTTTTATCTCTTCATTAGAACGTTTGAATTGGCGTGGAAACGACGAGCGGCCAGTAACGACCGATATTTCAGAGGACGACGGTTCAAGGAGAGGATTGCGGATCCCTTACACCGGGCAGGATGCTCGATTCGTCTTGTTTCGACGATTTTTCTTTTCTTTCGACCTCGAAATTGACTCGAGAAATGGAATAAATAGCTGGAGTAAATGGAGATATTAACACGCTGTTAACACACTTTGGAATTAAAGTAGATTCGTTAGAGTTAAGTTTCAAAGTTACGCGGCAGTTGTAATTACGGTACATTCGGTATTGCATGGTAATATTATTCGTCTCTGTGCGCTGTTAGTGCTTTTAACATTGATTTTCAATTCACGAAGCGGAACGTAATTATTGAATGAAACTCGTTGCATTCGCCAATCTATGTTTACAAACGTTTCCTTAACAAAATGTTACTTGAACCGTAAAGAAGTTAAATCGATCAATATTTCGGATTAACGGGTTTGACATTTGAAAATTGAATTACGAACGTACGTGCGGCAAAATGCACGGTTCAACCGGTTTGAAATCGCAACGTTGGCGGACGCCAACATTGGGAGCAACCAGCCATTTCCATAAATTTCGAAACGAGAATCGAGCTTCTCCTCACGCGTAAATGTAAATACGTATCTACGAAATCTCCCCTTCTCTTTAATCATCGACGCGCTAGTTTCTATGGAGATTCGTGGAGCAGAATTCGCGATAGGTTCGCGCGAGAAGCATTCAATTTCACGAGGATCTCCAATCAGATTCTCGAGAGTCAACATTCCGTTCCGCCAAACCTCCTCTCGATGGACCGCAGGAACAAGGCTAATTCGATTTCGGCGTAACGCGGCTTACCATCGGCATACGTGTGCCTCGACGTGTTACCATACATCATCGGGTGTACAAAACGTGAAACTGGATTGCCAGGAAAGAAAATCCAATATATGTGTTAGCTCGTTCCAAAAGTTCGTGGATCAATGCTTATAATTTGAGAGGTAGAACCCTTCCTCTAATTTTTCAAAAGTACATCAGATAAACATTTTTTCTTTCATCACAAATGATATATCAGACTTTCAATTCGACGAAATAAATCTTTGTCTCAAACGAAATAACATCTCGTCTTTCGTAAAATCGATCGTTTTCCGCGTATTCCGGATTTAAGTAAGGCGAAAAAAAAAAAAAAGAAAGGGATCGTCTAATTTTGGCAAAGACAGAGGCCTTACCTTCGAAACCTCGACGAAACGTTTCAGAGACGAGGATTTATCAAACGTAGGTGTGTTGGCCGGTCGTGTTGTTCGTTTATTATGCTAGCTGGTTTGCCTGGCTTATATTGTGCCGGGCAAGCGTTGTAAATGCGCGGCTGGCTCTGTTCTTCCATCCACCGCCCGTTACACTTTCCTTCCCTCTACGCTCCCATTTTCTCAACCACTCACAATCCGCGTGGGTGCACCGTTCGATCCCCAATCGCGAGTTTCGCGGCGCGGATGCAGCCTCGAAAAATTACCGTGCGCCCGAGATGCCCGAGATAGCTTTGGTCGACAGCGAGCTCGGTTAACTCTCATCGATCATATTCTCACCGCGCCTTTATTATTGTTATTTCGACGAACGTGTGTTTTCCACCGGTTCATGTGAATTCGCGTGAAAAGAAAACGAATGCTTCTTGCTTGGTGCGATCAAGCAACACCGAGAGATCACGAGATGACCGTGTCCGAGAATGGATCCACAACAGAGATGGTCCCCATAAACTCGGTCTCCAGAAGTTCCAAGGTGATTACATCTTTCGAAGGATGAACTCGAAATCTTCATCTTCAGCGAAGATCGTAGTGTGATTTTTTTTTCTTTTCTACGATTCCACGTGGACAGTGATTCGTATTTTTCTTCTTCTTCTTTTTTATTTTCTTTCCTTCGTTATACTTTTTTTCCAATTAAGGCATTCCAGTTGGTATAAATTTTCTCTCGACGAGTAGCGAGAGAGTTTCGTTGTTCAAAAATTTTTCAAGGGGAGGGAGGGAAACGAGAGAAGTGAGATACGATAAAATGCGGATGCGCGTAAGAGAGCATTCGCCTCGTTGCGAGCTGTATTTTCAATGATTCGCGTCGTGCTTTGAATCGGGATAAAAAGAGAGAAAGAAAAAAAGACGCCTCGATGATCTCGTGAAACTCGTATTACAGAAACAGACGTGTTTCCATCGTTGAAGATTATTTAAATCTGTGAGAAGTGGGTGATCCTACGTACCATGATCAGGGGCGCGGTGCCTCTCAGATCGAACTCGACCTCCTCGAGGAACACCCTGAATATTGTCACGACCAGGGTTAGTCAACATCATGATATTTTCATACAATCGTGTTTATCCGTGTTAAACGTGTTTTCGAAAGGATATATATTCTCTTTATATCCACGCGAAATTATCGGTGCACGTATAACAATAATAATTTTCAAAAGGGCAGAGCTGTGGTGAAAAGAGGGTTGGCCATTTTATTCGCGACACGAAATTTAGCACAGTTCCCGTTTCACACTTTTGTTACGGTTCCACGCTTCCTTACTCGACGCCTTGAACTTTCCCAACCATCCGTGTTAAACTTCTCCGCAACATCGAAGACAGATGGACAACGGTTTTTCGCATCGATGGTTCCCGTCCGTGCACTCTTTGTAATAATATCGTCGTACCCTCCCTCCTCTCCCCTTTTCTTCCTTTTTCGAAGTAAATAAAAAATTCAGCTCTCTCTCGCGCTTTGCAATAAAGGAACGAGTAATAACGTTGCCTTTTTTTTTTTAGAAAGCTTACATTCGCATAACGAGTATAACAGTTTTTAACGACAGTTTTTAAATCTCGAAATGCAATTCTTTTATCCCGCTAATCGCGCCTTTTTTTGTCACTTTATAAGCTTGGTAGCTTTTGCGCGTAGAACGCGCAATATACATTTTACAAATCAAAATATAGAGAAATATACGGAAGCAAAGTCGCGTTATTAACGTTAATTCTTTGTTTTCGTATTATATGGAAACGGGTCATATGCTCGCGCGAAGTGAAACGGAGAACACCTACCACGGTAGGTTTCTATCCAATTTGGAGGATTGTTAACTCTCTGCGTTTCTCTGCATCTGCTTCGTGGTGCACGTTTATCAACATTAATATTATTTTTAGTTTTAATTAAAGATACATAGTCGGCTGGATTTCTGACAATTGAGAATTTACGTTACGCGCCAATTTTTTTCTCGGCAAACGGGATCGATACGATATTTATAAATCGTAAACTACATTTCACGCATTGTGCGTAATGCTCGATCCTCTACGTGAACAAAAAAAATATTAATTACTTTCTTTTTCTCGCTTTTTCTTGAATCGATACTTTATTTTGAAAATATCCAAATATAATTTCGTTCAATACAACGTAGATTATATAAAGATTTTGAGAGATCTCTTTTAATTTTGAAAATCTTGAAAATCTACGTAAATCTACCATTTTCATTTCCCATATATTAATTGTTCCATTCCATTTTCAATTACAACAGCAAAATACCAGTTTCGAGACAAACGTCGTACCTAAAAATACCAATCATCTGCATCGTTCTAAAACTAGTCAGAAATCGGATCAAGCGACCTCGAATCGTCAATAAATCCCGAAGCAAAAGAAAATCACACGAGAGAGAGAGAGAGAGAAGAGTGCGTGATCTCCTATCGAGCCACGTATTCCAATCGAAGTCGAGGAAAATAATCACACGGTCGTGATTCGATCCTCGAAGCAGATGTCGGAAACGATCTGCACACGGTGCGGTGCGGATTTGCGACTCACGCCTTCGCGACTTCGTGCTCGCCCCGTCGACGAAATAGATCGGCGTGGCCGACTATCCGTCGCAACCCCCGATTTGAATACGATAATAATAGGAAAACGCGTGTCGGGATGATGGCCGCGGGTGCACGCAGAATGCAAAGCGAATTGCATCGCGGTGTCGCGGCACTGGAAATGGATCTGTCACTTCCGCCGCTCTATCGTTACTCAAAATTTAATACCCCAATTCCAGTTTTCTTCCTTCCTTCCTTCCTTCCTTCGCACGAATTCCAACCATTTTGCTAATTTTTTTGCTTGCTGCTGAATGATTTTTGGGAAACTCGTTTCGTTCAAAGATGAGGAAAGTTTTGTTGGAAATTGTTGGTTATCCTCTCGCTGAATTTTGATTTCTCCCTTTTCTCGTACGAAGCATTCGAAGCATTCTGCAACATGCAATTTTTTGATATTAAATGATTTTTGTTTGAACTTGTTTCGTTCAAAGATGAGGCAAGTTTTGTTGGAACGTTGATATCCTATATTTTTCTTGTTGAATTAATATAGGTTTTAAAGGAGTTTTAAGGGAGTTTAAAGGAATTTTTGGAAATTCTTTATACTATATCTTTGATTCTTAAATGGTAAATATTAATCCTTGCATCATTAGTGGACATTATATTTGCGGGCTATGTATTTTATATCGATCTGTATCATATTAATTAATACTAATCGCATTAGAAGTACGGGTTTTTATTTTTATAACGAGTATTATAATAAAATAAGTGAAAGGACAAAAAGTCTTTCTTAAAGTATTCGAATGATTCGGAAGAAAACGATTTCGTAGAAATACAAAACGATACAATCGTAAAGAAAAAGATTCTTCGTTCATAATAGAATATTTTGTTAATATTAATTTTAATAACACTTTAAAAAATCTCATCTTATCTATTTACGTTCTAAATTATTCTCCAATGAATTACTATTTAATCTCACCAAATCTTGACAAGTAAATCCAAACATTCTTTCGAATTGTAATTTTAACACAACGACTATCCTTTTTTTACCCTCTCCAGCCATAAAGACGTATTTATTCTCTTTTCAAGCACGTCTTCTTCCCTCGACGAGCGTTCATAAATTCACTGTCAGCATCAAAGCTAGCATCTCTCCTTTAGAATTTCCATTCCCAACTCTCTCCTACCATGCCATCGTTCTCCTACATCTTCCTACGTTATCGATGTTATCATCATCCCACATTTTACATCCACCTCAACGTGTCTCCGAAATCCGAATCACCGCAACGGACAAAATAATCGAAAGTGATGTTCGCCTCCTTCGAAATTCAACTCTCCGTCCAATTTCACATGTGTATAGTTGGAATTTCGCGAGAATCGAAATTCACCGTCCGTGTATTTGTCATTTGTTGACAGGAGGAAAGACGTCGGACCGGAAGATACGTGGCAGGTGGTGCTGTGCTGGCAATCATGCTTCTGGCCGTGCATCAAGCGCTCCTCAGGGACGCGTCCACCATAGCCGGTGTCTGCATACCGGCCATAATAATGATCTCCTATATTATATGGATCTTGTATTCCGCCCATCGAGACAGACGAAAGGTAACGTGTTTTAAATCGAACAATGGCCACTACTCATCCTGACCTCAACTCGCCGTTCCTTCTTTTGAAACTGGACCAGTGCCAGTGGATTCGTTAAATGTTTCCAGCAACGATATCTTCGAATAAGTTTTTCGAACGGGCGAAAATTTGTCTTTGTAGTAAAATACTTCGTGAATTTCATTGATCATTTTCGATGGGATAAAATCGGAATGGCGGCGGGCGATCTCGGGAAAGAAAATCTTTTTTTTTTGTAGAAATTGATTATAGTTCTGTGAACTGGGTGCGCACGAGACTTTTTTAATTAAACGCATAAAGCGAAGCGCATAAATTTTCGAGCAAATGTTTCGAGCGAAGATATTAGAAGAGAGGAATTGTTTGAGCTCCTTTTTTCTCGTGATTCTTTTCGTCTCTCGAAAGGAAAAAAAAAAAAGGAAAAGTTTGACGCTCTCTCATAAAGAGGCTAGACCGTCATTCAAGCCAAGTAATTTTCTAAAGCGTCTTCCCCACCCTTTCGCCATGCTTCAATTTCCTTGAATTCTTACTTAATCTCCCGTTAATTCTTTCTTTGATCATTTTTACTTGCTTCTTGAGAATCTGTCTTAAGTCCATTAACAAAATATCCTCCTCTCTTCGAAAAACGTTCCCCTTCATCTAACCAATAAATACATAAGATACGACGTTCTTAACGTCGACGTTTAAATTTATTAAAAGTCTTGCGAATCTTTTTACCTATCTAATTTCTGTTATAATCTTCTTCTTCTCAAAATATCCAATCTTCTTTACATCCAAATATTTATCTACCTACGTAATATATTTTATTAACGAATACACGTACGTTCTTAACCTCGATATTCAAATTTACTGGAAAGACAAAAAAAAAATTATACGATAATTAATTATTTACTTTTTCTCTACTTTTTCTCGATTATTCCATTCCAGAATATCCTGCTTCCAAATATTTGTCCACACATTTGTAACACTGGCCATCATCGATGCAATAAACATTTCCAACATTCTTACAACGTCGATGTGACCGTTCCAGCGAATCATAATCCACGTTCACCCGGTCGAATTTCCGTTCAATTTTCGTGGAAAGTTTCGGGCGATGGACCGAAACTTCCCTCCCTTCCTCCGATGAAATACGTAATTGAATAGGGGGAGGAGGGAAGCGAAGTTCGGAAATAAATGTCATTTTCGAGGATGCACAAAAACCGGAGGCGGCAAATCAACAGCAGCACGAGCGAGTAACAACCTCGAATTGAACGAAGTTTTCTTTTTTTTTTTTTTTTTTTCGCCTCCCGGCTACTTTTAATCTTGTAAATAAGCCACGTGGGATGCCCCATGGCGCGGAAACTGATAATCGAATTCGACCGGAATCGGCCTCGGGTCGGAGATCGCTTTCGAAAAATCGGGCGAAAAGTCTCGTGGAAATCGCAATCGAGCGAGGTCAGATCGATATATTTGCGACAAATCGTATTCACCTCGTCAGTGTTATCAGTCGAATCACGAATATAGATTTCCGCTTGGGAATCTTCCCCCTTTTCTTTAGTTTTACGTCACGTTTCCTCGCTTTCGAGAAACTGGATTTTTTAATTTGGGAATGAAAATTCGTTGGACTCGATAGAGGTGTAATTTTTCATCGTCGATCTACGTTTTCCGCGTGGCTCGTATCGGGACGAATTATCTAAATTATTTGTCTAATAGAAACAAATTTTCTTTCCCTTTAGAGAATTCGACAAAACAAAGATCTTCTGAAATGGTTCTTTACACAATTTAGCTTCTCGAAAAACAAAAATAATTAATATGATTGTCTAACTCTGTAAATTTCACTCGCAGGAGAATTGAATTCCAATTTCGTTCCAAAAATTAAAAAATCGATTTGTTTGAAATCTTTTGATTCGATAAAGCGTTATTTTTTGTTTTTATTCGTACAGTGATGGTCGATCGTGCCGACATCGAATAATCATCGAATTCAGAATCGGAACAAATCGTTCAACAAATTTTCCGCAAGATTGTTTCATTGGTAACAATTTTTCGCGTTGATTGAACACAACGAAATTAAAATGTCCCGTGTGTGACCGTTTGTCCGTTAAAAAATAATTTCGCGACTCAATTTGCGATCTTTTTCTTTTTTTAATAATTCTCCATCTCTTTTTCCCTCTGTCGGGCCACGTGGTATTTAACGTAACGTCGCCGAATACAAAAAAAGGGGGCTATTATCGGTAGATAAAAAAAAAATGAACAATAAACAACGAAAGTGAGGGGAAGACGGGAAGTTTGTCTAAACTGGAACAAGGTTAGTTGATAATACGAAACGAGGTTATCTTCTCGTGAACAGGATTCGTGATTTACGATGGGTAAAGAGAAAGGCGCCAGTAGCCGCGGATTTTCTTTTCGTTAAGTACACCTTTGGAAAAATTGCAATTTTTTTTTAATTAACTTCCCTCGAACATCGTTTCCAACGGGCTAACTAATCGAATCACATCCACGTTATGCAAGACGACGGAAATTGTAACTTTCTTTCCTGCGACGCAAAAGGATTACCTCAACTCTTTCGCCAACTTATTGAATTCTCCCGCCCTACTAATAACTTTTAGTCACCATTTTTCTGTGCCACTTTCTTCCTCGTTTCTACCTCACCGTAAGACTTTGCCAGTTTGCGCTAATTTTAAGAACGAATTTTGAGAAAGAAATTTAACCCTTTTCGAATAGGAAATGTAATGCATATTAAATGTTCAGAAAATTGAATGCTTGCTTCGTAATATAATTTATAAAGCGAAATTTTATATACACGGAAGATTTTCTGCAACAGTTAAAATTTTGAATTTATTAAACGAGGACGAATTAATGTGAATCTTTATGAAGTACTTTTGATTTCATTAACATAAATTTATGACTTTATCCATTCGAAACCGTGTAATCATAATTTGTATCATGGAACATATCTTTCTTTGTTACAAGATAAACCAATCTTTATTACACTTTCTCAAGAAAATCAAACGAAACGAAATACTATTAAAAAGCATCGACTTCTTATTTTATCTTTCTAAAGATACTCAAACAACAAGAAACCTTACACCATAATCCAAAATCTAAAATCTCGCGTGCAAAGAAATTCTCGAATGATTATTTACAAACATTCGCAAAAAAAAGGTTAAACAACTCGAGAAACAACCACTTCAAATGCGTCAAACCTCGGTTCAATCCCCCCCCCCTCTCTCAACTCACGCAATACAAATATCCTTCTCCTTTTCAAACGGTGCTCGAGCGCGACTCGACGACTATTCCAATCGACGACACCCTTCTCTCCCTAGTCGATGCATGCGCGCCCCTCCTCTCTTTGTTAGGCTGACACACAGTTTCCCGATACCTTTGTCCTCGATCTCTCGTCAAGGGAAGACAGACACGATTGGAGCGGAACACGAAAATGTGTAAACAAGTTTGCCAAGTTGCGTACGATTCTCCATTCTGGTTTTCAGGCGTTGAGATTCGCGACGGCGATGCAGCTGACAGAAGTAATCAGCGTGCCACCCAGGCCCAACGAGATCTGCAGAAACGGGGCGAGCAAGGACGAGACACGAAAATCAAACGGTTCGAAATCAGCCTACGGTGTTCGAGAGTCGTCGTCCCGCGAAAATCCTGCCTTCTCTTCCAAGGACGAAGCTGCGTGAGAGGAAACTCGTTCGACTCTATCGCATCGGATGTGAAACTTGAATGAACTTTCTCGGAGAAATATTTTTTCTTCGAGCGATTGCCAATTTTTATCTGTTATGTTCCAGAATAGTAATATTTTAGATTGTACGATATAAGCTACCTTTTTATTCTTTTTATTCTTCTTTTCTTCCAAAATCAACACGACACTTGGAAAAATGGACTCGATTATAAAATATTTAAAACGTATCGTAGAAGCAAATTCAAAACGACTGTGCATACAAGGAGTTCTTTTGCATCGTGTTGTAATTATTATCATGTTTAGAGTTGTGCGAACGATTTTCATTCGAGTGAATCATAGAACAACGATTCGACTCTACAAATTTTAAAATTAATAAACGAAGAGAAAGGCAAAAGCGAGTCAAGACAAATATTAAGAATAGTTCACTGTCTTGAGAGGTTTAAAACGATTGGGAACGCGATCGAGTCAGCATACTACAATTCTTCCCCTCGACTTTAATCGCTCTGGCCCGAGGCGGAGAGCGAAACGAGCTTGGTGCACAACCTAATAACATAATAAATACTTCGGTTCGGTTTCGTTTTCGGGGCGGCCCGATTTCCCGCGATAGAATTATTTGTTTAGCCCGTGGCCGGAATTATTTGTTTCCGCGGCGTGATGCAACGTTCTCGTACGCGAATGCACGTTGCCCCTGTTTCCCCCAAATAAATCTATTTAGCGGAGGAGATAAATCGCGAGAAACGCATGTCGCGCGCGGATAATTCATTTGGAACGATTGCCACGACAAATCGAATTCCCATTTTGCGGCCGAAACTTTATCGCGGGCCCGATTTTTCCACCACCGATCTCTCCTCTTCGAAATTTTATTCCAAATTTATCGTATCGAAGATCGCTTTTGTATCTCCTTCTCTTTCTTCCTTTTTTATTTCTATATTATTTACGAGTAACGCGTGCATTTGTCGGAAGGTCCACGGTGAATTACGCGGAGAGATAGAAAGCGTGGAACCATACCTCCTCCTCGGTTACTTATTAGCCTGTGCGCGGCTCGTAAATCGCGGTTATAAAGAGTTACGCGAAATATTACTTGAAAGATACGGGCTTCGTTTAATATTATGTAACGAGGGACTCGTTATTGCATCATTTTCATTCTTCTCGATTATCGTTATTCTCGGGCAAATCGGAGGGTGAAACGCGCATCTATCAACTATTATCGATCGTAATTTTCTCGATGATGTGATGTGATTCCTTGATCTTTGATAAAAACGAAAAAAAAAAAAAAAAAAGAAAAAATGACTAATTAAGCGAATAAACTCTCAATCTGTGAATGGAGAACAATATGGGGGGGATCTAACAAATACGTAAAAATAATCTATTTTTTTCGACGTTAAAGTTTAAATATTTAGACTGTAAGTTCTTTTCGTAATTCGTAAAATAATAAAAAAAAAGAAAAAATATTGAAAAGTTGGAGAACGTTCTTCTCTTGAGTGTTAATATTTACAGTAGAAGTTCTACTGTATGCGTATAATTTCAATTAATCTTCCTCTTTATCTCTCCCCATCTTTCCACGATCATGTAAATATTTAACCGAAGCCAAATGCAAGGTAAATAAATGCAAGCGGCAAAAGGAAGCTGAAATGCGCAACTGGGATCTCATCTCTACGTAATGCAGACATCATCGGGGAGGTGTATATAACAGCCAGATACCAGAAGAATTATCTATCCTTCTCCCCCTCTCTTTATCCATTAACGAGGAATGTACAATCATATTTTGCCTCTGGAAAATGAATTTCAGCCCTCTTCAAAAAAACCACGGTGCAGAAACCGTCGTGAAGAGAGGCGATAACCAGCGAGTTTGGAACGATCCCCGGCAGGATCGTTTGTGCGTTTCAATTTCCCGTCGACACCTGAGTAATAACCCTGGAGGACCATGTTTCGCGTTGAATTATTTTGAACGAACAAAGTAAAAAAAGGGAACGAAACGAATCAACGGTTTAATAAATTCCAACGCTTGATAAATGACGAGTGTTAATTAAGAAAGGAAAATATATATATATATATAAAGTGACTTTCCAATTCATTAAAGAAGCTTTCAATGCTCGTGATTTATTTTTCTCGAGTGCGACGTTTCCTTCCTTCCTTTCTTCCTTATCTCTCAATTATTTGCAACGCGGTTAATTAAAGGATCTATAAACGTGAGTGGTAGATCTATAAAGGTGAGAAAAAGGGATGAAAGTAGAGAGGGAGGTCGAGGAAAAGGAAAGGAGAATTGAAAGGAAGAGAGATAAAAATTCTTCGCTTCGCTCACGTTTATCATTTTGCACTCAAATTGCGCAGGTTTTGAATAATAGAACGAATATATATATTTTTTTTATTTGAAAACCATCGCGAAAGTTTAATAAATTGTTACACAAAGAATACACGAGAAAGGTTATTATGTGATACAAAAGGTATTAAAACTGCAGTTAATCGGAGATTTTCGAATACCGAAACAATACTACAATAAACCCAGTATTCCACACTCTCGATAATAGATTTTATTTCATTTTTCAATTGAATCAAAACGCGTTGTGTACCACTTTGTATACTTCAACACGTGGTACAGAAATATCCAAGAAATTTATTTTCGAACGTAACACGTATAACAGGTAACAAAATATAAATATGCGATATAACAAAATTGTGCAACGATAAATCAAAATCTCATTGTTAAACGCTTTAATTTTTGTCCCAATTTTTGTCCCAAATTTATAACAAATTAATTATAAACCGATAGAACGAAATGTTTCGCGTTAATGCATCGTCTTGTTATATGTTGTATTTCAATTGCTAAAGATAAAGAGAAAAAATTATTCGAATCGAATACAAGAGCGGAACAATTGGCGAGTGCAGGGCAATGCAGTTAAATAGAAAGCGTGACGCGTCTGACCGCTAAGGAAACCGCGTTTCGATCGAATCCAGACCAATTTCCACGAATTTACATAGCCCCATAATTCAGCCGCCGATCCTATTTCGACGCGATAATTTGATTCGTCCGGCGCGGAGCGCATGATTGCAGCATCCATCTTTCCACGGTCTCGACGCGGAAGGAACACGTCCATTTCGATACACGAGCACAGTGATTAAACGCTCTTTCGTTATCCCTCTCCATCATGCCGTTTCCCTTCCAAATTCCTACCTATTCTCGCGAATTGTGAGAGTAATGTGTACAATCGTAACGGCAGAAATGGAATATCATCGATTAAAAATCCTGTGTTTCGCAATGCTAACAGGAATACCATGGTCGGGACAATTTTCAAAAACAATTTTTAAATAAATCTTGATGTCACGGGTCCAACGTGTTTCTTCTTATCGTCACGTTCATCTAGAATAATCTGATGAATTTTTGGAAATTCGGCAATTTTAAAAATTCTAAAGAATTAAATTACGATCGCTTAACGAATTTATAGTAAGAATAAGAAAGAAGTTATAGATCGAAAAACGATTCTTATTCGATATAATAGAATTAACACCGGTATGAAAAACAATCAAATTCGTCAAATTCGAAACGGCAATCTCGTATAAAGAGATCCAAGAAAAGATGGCCGCTAAGTTATTTATTCGAATAAACGATTCGTCAAGTGCATCGTAACGACCACGATCAAAACACGCGTGGCAATCGTTCCGATCGTAACTCTACAAGTTGACCCGATTACAATTGTCTCGATTCCAAACGATCCATTAACCGATAACGTTTTCTTAAACGAAGAGTATTCGAAGTGCGCTCCATAGAGACGATTAAACGATTCTTTGGCCATTGTAACAGGATCGTGATACGATTACCAAGGGGATTCGTAAGTGTTTTCTCGCCGAGCGATCGATCGTGTCCAAGTTGCGCGGTGTAGGTGTGGTGGTTAACTTGGTTTGTTCCTGGCAAAACAAGGACTTTCTCCATTGTTGTGGTAATCAGACTGATAAGGAGAAACAGGGTTGAAAAGGGTTTCTTTCAAACCAGGACAGTGACTCGAAAACTTTGAATTTATTCAAAGGGAAGGCCATCATCCACGAACTCCGGATTTAACAAGCTAATTCATGGCGGTATATACGATTGGAGAAGAATTTATTGGCATCGTATTTCCTTTCGAAATCCATCTATCTTGAAAATTGTTAGAAATTATTATTAAACGGTTATCGATGTTTTGAAATTGATTCTTTGGCATGATTGAAAACTCGAAGGAAAAACGCCGTTTCATCTTGTGTGATATATGTGGAGCCGTTCGAACCTATGAAAATCAATGTGAATTTCTGAGATTCTATGCAAGCCTGGCACCACGAGCATTAGCATAAAAATGAAATTTCAAATAACCATGGAATAACTGTGCCGCACCACTTGCTCGTAATATTCATTTAAAACCGCAATAAGATTTTGTAGGGGAAAGAGAACGGATCAGGAATCGAATTCTTCCACTTTTCAATCAGAATTTAATATTTCCAAAATTTAATATTCTATCCATTCGATAAATTGATCCAATCGAGAAAACACTTGAATCGAGAATCCGATCTAAACAACGAACGAATCAAAGAACAATGCTCTGTAATTGTAAATTAAAGATTTAGATAGTTTGCAAAGGCAATAATAACGAAAAAAAAAAACGTCAAATCGTTCGTTTATCTTCTTATGTTCGAAATTACTTAAAATCGAGTCGTTTTCTAAGCAAACAATCACGCGTAAAGTTAGAAATTTAAGATCATTGCGAAATTGTGTCCATCCCGTCGACATTCGAATTTCGCTCGTTTCGAACGAATTTCCGCCTCGACATTCGATAAATCTAGGCGACTGAATCGCGCTGATTGTAGCCACCGCCACCGGGGTGTGCCGTGCGCTCGACAAATTTCGCACTCCCTTTGTTGATATCTCCGATGATTAATTACGCATTGAGCCGGCCGTCGATTTGCAATAATTCTGATTTACATGGCTTCCAACTTAACGAGGCACCACGATCCAATATTCCTTCTTTCTCCACGAATTAATGCACACGCGTGTATCGATTGGCCTTC